GGTAGACCTATCAGGAGTAAGACGGCAAGGGAAGTGAAGAACTTCGTCCTAGAGTACTTATCTAGGTATGGTTGTGTCAGCAAGATAGTGATGGACAGAGGAGCGGAATTCCTGGCTGACGAGGTTTTGAATGTATTCAGGAGAGCTGGGGCGAGAGTTTTGATAGCCACTGCCTCCACCCACAGTCAAACTCCCTAGTAGAGAGAGGGCATCAGATCGTGATAGCGTCGCTATCTAAGTGGTGCAAAGACAAGGACAGTGATTGGCCACGATATTTTCGATACGCAATTTGGGCGGACAACGTCACGGTCCGGGCTAGCACGGGATACCCTCCATACACCTTGTGGTTTGGGCGGCATTGTCCGCTTCCCATAGAGTTTCACGTCGACACCTAGACAACCGTCGACTGAGCGGAGGAGATGTCCAGAGAGGAACTCATAGCTGCCCGAACAACACCGATAGCCTACGGTTTGGAAGATAACCTTATGACAGCGGCGGATCGTCTGGCACTGGAAAGAGACAAAGGTAAAGAGAGATGGGATAAGAACGTGAGAATAAGGAAGGAGAGGGTGAGTGTAGGATATATGGTCTTTCTCTACGATGCAGCGCTGGAAAGAACCAGGACCGGAAAACTCGCCAACAGATGGATGGGACCTTACAGAGTGGTTGAGGCACTCGACTGGGGTGCATATATGATAGCAGAATTAGACGGATCCAAGTGGAAGGACCCAGTGGCGGATGCTAGGTTAAAGCTGTTTAGGCCCAGGCCCGCACCCATCTTATCGCTGACAAGACCACAAGGGAAAGGGAAGGCCAAAATGGAGAATGGAGCCGTCTCGAGACGATAAGAGGTGGGAGAGAGTTCCAAAAAGAGGAAGAGGGTAGAAAAAAGAAAGGTCAAAGGATTGGCGATAGGGAAGAGGAAGAAATGATTATTCATGCTCAGGAGAGCCAGACAGAGAGTTCGCATTAGACGAGCTGATGAGTCGGCACCTTTCTCGGACCAACATCAGAAGAAAAAAAAGGATCCTACCAAGACCAAAATCCCGAAGGAAAAGGAAAGTCAAGAAGCATCTTCTTAGCCCTGGAACTAATGACAAACTGAAACATAAGACAATTGAACGCCGACGTGGCCGACCTTTACGGGCAATCACCCTGAAACTCGTCCGCTTCATTTGACGCAAGTTGATAGGGCTCGACGGGGGCGTCGAGAAGTGGTCTGCGCTAACTGTCAGGCGGCCAAGAGCAGTGCGCCGCCTGAAATCTGCGATTTCGGGACTTAGGCTCGGGGACAAGTCCGTGTTTTGACGGTACTCTGGTATGACCAGGCAGCAAAAATTAGGGGAACTCATGGCACCCCTGATTTTGGGCGAGTTGAACCTTTCGAGTAACCCCCAAAGATGGCAAAATGGGTAGCCGCTCCCGGCACATCTTGGAACCGTTACTTCCGCCCGTCCCGAGGCTAGACCTGAAATGACCGGCCGCTAAGAGACATCGCGGGGACTGACCCCGCGGTAACGCCTTTTGCAACACACGATCGGGGCCGAGTGATGCCTCAAATTTTTTGATGCCGAAATTAAAATGGAAGAGACGGTTAAAGATGGTGGGATGAGAGAGAAAAACAAAATGTTCTTTGATTTCTATAATTTCCATGACATTTAATTTTAGTAGAAACTCCGTCGTTATTTTACGTTTCCGGCAATGAGATTAAAAACGAAGAAAAGAGATTAAACATGACAAAAAAAAAGGGAAACAAAAGAATTTCAATCATTTGATTTAAAACCCCTCAGTGTTTATTTTTTGTGAAATTGCGACTATTATACTAATTCAGACAATAGAAATAGGAAGAGAGTGAAATGATTAAAACAAAGACGGAACGAACAGGAACTACTGACTATTCGATGCCTGGCCTGATTTTGTTTGGATTACCCACCGTCAGCCCGGAACCCCGAGTTGATCAGATTCTCTGAACTCTAACCCCTTTTGTTACTATCTTCTGATGATCGAGATTTTCCACGTCGTTCTCTTCATGTACCTGACTATTGACCCTCTGAGTCAGTCCGAGGATGGTCACATGGGCAGCGTGAGACGGTGCTGCTTTGGACCAATAGTATGATATTTGGGTCGGTACGGACACCGGTTCGGAGGGGTTCCGGTTATAGTTCGGTGTTTTGGTTCGGGGTGAGCTCAGTATCAGTGCATTTCAGGTTCGGACATATCAGCGTGATTTATTGTCAGGCTTGGGGCTGCTACGACGATCTATTTCAGCTTCGCCGCCGCCATGGYGGTTTATCCCSGGCACGGTGCTRTCGCGGCCATTGATTTCAGATTCGGTATGACTCGACACCGACATWTTTTTTTTCAKCTCGACAAGGGYTCGACATCAGCTTATTTCAGGCTCGAGCAGATCAGGGTGATTTATTATCCGGTTTGGAACCACCACATTGATTTATTTCAGGGTCGGAAGAGCTTCGACGTGACTCCGACCGTCTACTTCCGGATCAGCACCAACACGACAATTTATTTCAGCATCGAAGTCATTGCCACAATAATTTTCTGGTTCGGTTTGGGGTCGGCTTACACAGTACGGGCTATTTCAGTTCTCTGCGACAACGATCGGATGTGTGTGTGAAAAACGACTCCAAATGATTGGTATGATTTGGTACGGGTGCTATAGTCGGAGGCATTGTCACGTAACAGTTGCTGTAAAATACCGCGGCCAATAGCTGCAGTCCCAGACGGCTATGTCAATGGGACTCAACGGTTCAATATTGAGGCCCTCTTCATCATCTTGGGTATGTACGGTACTGACGTGAGGCTTTGGTCTGTCACCGGACTGGTACGGTCCTTGGGCCAATACAGCCAGGTCACGGGGCCGCGGTACCATTATGCTCGGCACAGTTTCTGATTTGGTAACAAGGACAGTTCTCTTTGATTTCGACTGCAACGCCTATCGGTACCATTGGACTGGAATTCCCACAGTACGGGGGTACCCGGGCTCTCAGCAGCATGTGCTCCGTAAAAGGCTTCGGTCGCAGCATATAGGAGAAGGCAGCGAAGAGAGGAGGGACGCACTCAGTACGAGCAAGGTGTACCCGCATATGCAAGCGCGGGGAAGATGCGCCAGCGCTGAGGCGGTTACTCCGCGTGTGAGGGGAGCGACGTGGGGGAAAGGAGCATGCAAGGTGTATCTGGCCCACAACATAGTGGGATCCAGGCAGGTCAACGCGTTGGGAGCAGCATGCAAGGCGATCCCCGACCACGTAGCATGCACGGAAGGGGTCAACGAGGGGGCAGTTGGAAGGAATGTGGACCAGAGGGAGAATAATTGGGTGGGCCATACCAAGCGAGCACGGAGATCCACTGCGACTGCTGAGAAGCTTCTTTCATTAAACTGAGCGAGTGGCGGGCGTGGAACAACTGTTCTTTTGCCGCTGTCAATGGGAACGGCCATAGCCTTCCTCCTGTTTACCGCCTGTCTGCTGTGCGAAGAGGCATGTTCACTTACCGCTGTCGAAGAGAGCAATCATAGCGTTCTCCCTGCTTACCGCCTGTCTGCTGTGCGAAGAGACATGTTCATTTATCGCTGTACACGAGAAGTTCGAGAACAACCATTGCCTTTCCGCTGAAACCGCCTGTCTGGTATGTGACGAGCCAGGTTCACCTACCGCTGTCGATGAGAACAGCCATAGTCCCTCTGCTGATTACCGCTTGTCTGCGGTATGAAGAGTCACGTTCACTAGTTATATCCTTTTTGCTGCCTGCCGCATGTCTGCGGGGTGAGGAACCATGTTCATTCCTCCTCTCCATGGGGGAAGGGATCAATCATTTTCGTTGATTGACAGGAGCAGCCACTTTCGCTGAATGGATGGCCAAACACTCTTGCTG